GAGGAGAGAGAGAGGAGAGAGAGAGAGAGAGAGAGGAGAGAGAGAGAGAGAGAGAGAGAGAGAGAGAGAGAGAGAGAGAGAGAGAGAGAGAGAGAGAGAGAGAGAGATTAAATTAAAGCAGCGCAAACTAATACAGCTGAACCAAATAACCAAGATATATCAAGTCTATAAGTCAATTAATGATGATGAATTAGAGCACAATTAAGTGAGAACCTTAACAACGATAAAAAGGTATGTAAACACCAAGAGAGAGATGGCCGAACATAATAGGTCTACCTCAAGCGAGCCAGCATGACAGGAGTCTCTTAGATGTGAGCGACATTATCTCTCCGCATGAAACTGACACCTTTGTCTTTCATCCGGGGCTGCCCTCTGTACAGCACCCGGTAACAAGAGTCACTACAGAAACTGCACACAAATGTCTCACCCAGCAAAGATTTCACGGGATCATCAAACCGCTTCCAGGGCTCTTGAAACAGATGTTACAGCTACAAGAGCCCCAGTCCGGACCCACAGTCCCATTACACAGAGACCTAAGCCTCACACACCGCGTGGGAGAAGGCGGAAGCCATCTCTCAGCGCTGCTGCTGCTGCTGCTGCTGCTGCTCCTATTGCTGTTCTCAAGTTCATTTCTCAGGCACTCATCAACAACGTGGGAGAGTGACTATACAAATGCGGGAGGGGAGCCCCGCCAACACTTGAGGTATGGTAGCAGACAACCATTTGTCTCTTGGGAGTAATTAACGAGGCTCTTCAAGGTTTCTCAACCAATTATGAGGAGACGGGCAAGCTAGCGTGTGACCGGCTGAGACTTTGCATATTCCAGCGGTGGGGAGGTGCAGCCGGGGTTGTGGAACTCTTACGAGGTGGGGGAGGGGGCAGCCGGGGTTGTGGAACTCTTACGAGGTGGGGGAGGGAGCAGCGGGGTTGTGGAACACTTACGAGGTGGGGGAGGGGGCAGCCGGGGTTGTGGAACACTTACGAGGTGGGGGAGGGAGCAGCCGGGGTTGTGGAACTCTTACGAGGTGGGGGAGGTGGCAGCCGGGGTTGTGGAACACTTACGAGGTGGGGGAGGGAGCAGCCGGGGTTGTGGAACACTTACGAGGTGGGGGAGGGAGCAGCCGGGGTTGTGGAACACTTACGAGGTGGGGGAGGGGGCAGCCGGGGTTGTGGAACACTTACGAGGTGGGGGAGGGAGCAGCCGGGGTTGTGGAACTCTTACGAGGTGGGGGAGGTGGCAGCCGGGGTTGTGGAACACTTACGAGGTGGGGGAGGTGCAGCCGGGGTTGTGGAACTCTTACGAGGTGGGGGAGGTGCAGCCGGGGTTGTGGAACTCTTACGAGGTGGGGGAGGTGCAGCCGGGGTTGTGGAACACTTACGAGGTGGGGGAGGTGCAGCCGGGGTTGTGGAACTCTTACGAGGTGGGGGAGGGGACAGCCGGGGTTGTGGAACTCTTACGAGGTAGCAAGAGCAACAGTAAGAGCAGGCGACCAACTTTGAACACAAAAACGAATAAACGACGATTAAAGAACTTTGAGTAGCAGTTCTCTCGTGATCTGGAGCAGCTGTAGTGTGATATATCATATATGGACCAGCTGTATCGTGATATACCATATATGGAGCAGCTGTAGTGTGATATACCATGTACGGAGCAGCTGTAGTGTGATATACCATATATGGAGCAGCTGTAGTGTGATATACCATGTATGGAGCAGCTGTAGTGTGATATACCATATATGGATCAGCTGTAGTGTGATATACCATGTATGGACCAGCTGTATCGTGATATACCATATATGGAGCAGCTGTAGTGTGATATACCATATATGGAGCAGCTGTAGTGTGATATACCATATATGGAGCAGCTGTAGTGTGATATACCATGTATGGACCAGCTGTATCGTGATATACCATATATGGAGCAGCTGTAGTGTGATATACCATATATGGAGCAGCTGTAGTGTGATATACCATATATGGAGCAGCTGTAGTGTGATATACCATGTATGGACCAGCTGTATCGTGATATACCATATATGGAGCAGCTGTAGTGTGATATACCATATATGGAGCAGCTGTAGTGTGATATACCATATATGGAGCAGCTGTAGTGTGATATACCATGTATGGACCAGCTGTATCGTGATATACCATATATGGAGCAGCTGTAGTGTGATATACCATATATGGAGCAGCTGTAGTGTGATATACCATATATGGAGCAGCTGTAGTGTGATATACCATGTATGGAGCAGCTGTAGTGTGATATACCATATATGGATCAGCTGTAGTGTGATATACCATATATGGACCAGCTGTAGTGTGATATACCATATATGGACCAGCTTTAGTGTGATATACCATATATGGACCAGCTTTAGTGTGATATACCATATATCATGGAACTAAAGTTTTAATACATATTCTATAAATGTAATAGTATTATTATTATAAAATAATAATAATGATAATAATAATAATAATAAAAATAATAATAATAATAATAATAATAATAAAATAATAATAATAATAATAATAATAATAATTATTATTATTATTATTATTATTATTATTATTATTATTATATTAATTGTATATATTTTAATTGTTGCAATTAACAGTGTGTACTCACCTAGTTGTGGTTGCGGGGATTGAGCATTGGCTCTTTGGTCCCGCCTCTCAACCATCAATCAATTGGTTGTGTACTCATTAAGGGGTGTGCTGGAGGACCAGAGAGGGGGACAGGCTGTTGGCACACACGATCACAAAATTGAGCCACTTTCTCGTGCCGGACTTCCAAATAGAGCCAGTGCGGCTTGCTTGACCTACAAATGGAACTAGTACATGGTGTTGACCCTTAAAATAGAGCCAGTGCCTTGAACGAAACGAGAAAATAAAGCCAGTGCCCTTGGCTCGATCTTTGAATAGCGCCTCATGTCAGACTTCAACATAGTCAGTCCCTCTGTTTCGATCACAAAATAGAACCAACCTCTTGCGGGAATCTCTAAATAGAGCCAGTGTCTCGTGCCGTACCTCTAATTGCACTGTCTGACCGCTGCAGTTTGTAGTTGCTGTCGCTCAACACACACTTGTTCACGCTGAGCCTTCACACGAACCTGGCCGCATAGTCTCTTTCGTGCTCCCTTGTGTCTCGTCTACTTAGCCTCATAACCTGTGCATTATCATGCAGATTTTCGCCCAGTTGTGCCCAATTCCGTGTTTGGGAGCAAAAACTACCTATAACACAAAAATATTTACCTAGAAGTAAAATATTTTTGATATTGTGCTTCAGGAAAAATATAACAACACTTGTAGTAACAACACCTGTAGTAACAACATGTGTATTGTGTATATGTCGACGCTGTTACGAATCTATGATTGATTCTACCATTATTCATGATAACTATGTATAGCATTTAATCCTTTCCCTGTTCAGTACTATTATTAGTATGGTATCCATTTGTGTTCCAGTTAATATTGTATGATTTATATTGTAGCATGCTGTAGTGTGCCTGAGTTGCATTAATTTTGATAGGCTTGTGCAAGTTATTTCTTGTAGGAGGGAGTGGTGGCTTCTCCGGGGAGGGGAAGGGGGGGGATGATCATATTTGGATGTGTCCGGTGTGCGGCCTGTGGTCAAGCTAGCGTTAATATTTCAACCTTTGATTATTTCCTGTTATTGATTGTAATTAATTTTTGTGATTACAGTAACAGTATTATATACTCTTAAGATTACTGATTATATTGTTCTTTTGTACTACACTTTGTTAGTAGAGTTTTCAAGAGAGTTCATGTGGATGCTAAGTTGTTCTTTTGGTAGGACGCCTGCCATGCTGGCGGGAGGCTAGCTAGTCGTGTGGGTGAGCTTGATGAGAGGAGACATGTATTGGAGTTAAGTCGGTGTATATTGTTTATTTTGCTTAATACATAGTTAATTCTCTTGGTAAGACTATTTTGTGCTTCCCCATTTATTCATTCATGTGTTTAAGATATTGTCTGTGCTCATTAAATGATTTATGATATTATTGCATGCTGAAGGATAATTCTGGCTTTTTATATTTTTACCATTTTATCTGTTGATATGTCTTGTTACTCTTAAGTACAGTATATTGTTTTACATGTTAAGCAGTGTCGTTTTTTACACCCTAGACAAACTTTAAGGCAAGGCCGAATTTATTATATTTTGATTACTGCAAGCAAAAGAACCATTCCTAGGCTTCAAGGGTTATAACAAGACGCTAATTATATTATGCCTGGTTTTTAGTTACTTAGAAAAGGCGTGAAATGACGAACCTGGTCAGGCTTACACTAGTAACAGCGCCGCCGTGACGACGACAATCAAGTCAACGTGCAAGACAGTGAAGACGAATATGTCACGTTAGAAGAAAGGAGTTAGAAGAAAGAGGAATGATGTCTCATGACTAAGACACCATCTTATCTTCTTGAGGTTATCTTGAGATGATTTCGGGGCTTTTTAGTGTCCTCCCCGCGGCCCGGTCCTCGATCAGGCCTCCACCCTCAGGAAGCAGCCCGTGACAGCTGACTAACACCCAGGTACTTATTTTACTGCAAGGTAACAGGGGCATAGGGTGAAAGAAACTCTGCCCATTGTTTTCTCGCCGGCGCCCGGGATCGAACCCGGGACAACAGGATCACAAGTACAGTGTGCTGTCCGCTCGGCCGACCGGCTCCCTGAAGACATAAGACCGTGAACACCATGAACGAAGACATACCAGGCCAACCACCCAACCTCAACTAGGTGCTCGCGAACCAAGGCCCTGCGAGAATACTGCCTACACCAAGAACTCACCACTCAACTGTACAGTAATAGATGCAAGTTCTAATCCACGGTGGATGGGACACCGATATGTTGTTCACTCCACAGTCTCGTCTCCAGTTCCCAGCTCAGGTTTTCTCCGTCCTCGCCCCATTCTTCAATCCCCTGATCACCTTGTCGTATAACGCTTTGAAACTACTGACGGTTTTGGCCTCCACCACATTCTCACTTAGCTTGTTCCAACCGTCTACCGCTATGTTGGCACCTTTGTTTCCTTAGCTTGAATCTGTGACCTCTTGTGCTGTTGGCTTCAGGAATTCCTCTTTGTCAATTTAGTCGATTCCTGTTATTATTTTGTAAGTTGTGATCATATCACTTCTTTTTCTACTATCTTCTAGTTTTGGTTTGTTTAACGTCTCTTGCCTCTCCTCGTAATTCTGTTTTTCAGATCCGGAAGCCATTTTGTAGCATGCCTTTGCTGCTTTTATAGTATGTGTGTGAGTGTACTCACCTAGTTGTGCTCACCCAGTTGTGCTTGAGGAGTTGAGTTTCATCTCTTTGGTCTCGCCTCTCAACTGTCAATCAACTGGTGTTCAAGTTCCTGAGCCTACTGGGCTCTATCATATCTACATTTGAAACAGTGTATGGAGTCAGCCTCCACCACATCACTGCCTAACGCATTGTGTATTCGCCTAGTTGTGCTTGCGGGGGTTGAGCTTTGCTCTTTCGGCCCGCCTCTCAACTGTCAATCAACTATTACTAACTAACTAAATTTTTTTCCCACACACACACACATCCAGGAAGCAGCTCCGTAACAGCTGTCTAACTCCCAGGTTCCTATTTACTGCTAGGTAACAAAGGGGCATCAGGGTGAAAGAAACGTTGCCCATTTGTTTCTGCCTGGTCCGGGAATCGAACCCGGGCCACAGAATTACGAATACTGCGCGCTGACCGCTCAGCAACCAGGCCCCATAGGAACCAGATAGTTCCTGTGTGCGTGTGAGATAGGCCTAGGATGTACTCACCTATTTGTGAGATAGGTAAGTACACACACACACACACACACAGGAACTGTCTGGTTCCTGAAGGGGTCGTGTGTGTGTGTACTTACCTAGTTGTGCTTGCGGGGGTTGAGCTCTGGCTCTGTGGTCCCGCCTCTCAACAGTCACTCAACTAATGTATAGGTTCCTGAGCCTACTGTGCTCTATCATATCTACACTTTAAAGCTGTGTATGGAGTCAGCTTCCACCACATCATTTCCTAATGCGTTCCATTTGTCAACCACTCTGACACTGAAAAAATTCTTTCTAACGTCTCTGTGGCTCATTTGGGCACTCAATTTCTACCTGTGTTCCCTGATGCGTGTGCCTCTTGTGTTAAAAAGTCTGTCTTTATCTACCCTATCAATTCCTCTGAGAATCTTGTATGTATAACACACAAACACGTGTGTGTGTGTGTGTGTGTGTGTGTGTGTGTGTGTGTGTGTGTGTGTGTGTGCGCGCGCGCGCGCGGGCGTCATGTGTGCCCACGCGCTCTCTGGGTCCAGCAGGGAGTGCATACTGAATAGTCAACTGGGTGGAAACATCCACACTCACATCTCACTTGCTCCTTCCTAGAAAAGCCAACGACATTATAAAAACATCAGCAGGTCATCACTGCTGGCGGAACGAGGCGTGTAATAAAGCGAGTTGGGTCAGTAATCCTAAGATGGCCACCGCCCTGCCCAGTAACTTCGCCAATGGCCGCCAGGGGGACAGTTATGGCGCCATTCTCTCCGTCACATGGAGGTCCGCACTGACAAAATTCGCATAAATATGCCATTGTCCAGCGATTAGGTTTAGAGTTATGGTGTTGGTTTATTTGTAAGGATGAGGTGTATGGAGGGAGAGTATGATGCTTACGGCAGAATCTGGCCGCATATTCTCATTCCTGCTGCATGTAAAGAATAGTAAGAGGAGAATACCCTCGTTGAGCTGGGATAAGATATTTCTGTTTTCTTGAAACACAGAGTTCAAGTGTGTTACGCGTGGAGAATAGCGTTGAAAAGTCTTTGTCTACTAGTGCGGCTTACCTTAAGTCAAGAGGTTCTTAAGTCAAGGGGGTATGGGAATCGATCTCTGAATAAATAAAACTTGTTAGATGAGAAATAACTATAAATATATATAATATAATGCCTTTGATTTTGTGTTTCTGTTATTCTGTTCCTAGCCACTCATATGTGCATAAATATGCCATTGGCATAAATATTGTCTCGGCTTGGAACATAATAACTGAAAGCCAGTATGTCAAAAGCCAACCTAATGACATACTGGTACTGGAGGTCATACTGGTACCGAATAACGCTTGGGATGACGATGATTTCATCGTCATGATGGGGATATCCGCAGTCTGTCAAAGTGGGTATGGAGCCATATTGGGTGCTCCAGTGGGGTCTGTAGTCGTAAGACGGTTATCAACCCTTGCATTAGGTTATTAATTAATTTATGTTATCGCTAAGGAATGGTGAAATTTAGGCATTAGCTCAAGTTCTGTGGCTATAAATATATAGTTTACTACAGTTTATAGGGAATCTGCATCGTTACGCTTAAGAGATCTCCTTTCTTCTCCAAACTGTGTT